CACCGTTCTTCTAAACGTGGCAGCTTCTGAAACACACAGAGGGCGCTCTCGTCCTCTGACATCCTCTGATGTCGGCACACTGGGCGACGGGACGGCGTCCTGGCATCGAGACTCCACGGAGCGTGAGCACAGAGGCTGACGTGTCACTGAGGTCGGCTCCAGCAGCACATATGTCGGCGAGGGTAAAGTAGTAATTAGACAGACTCGCAGATTAGATGTCTGTGCTTCACACCTGCTGCTTCTAACAATCCTGCAGGCATTAAGGAGGGGGGGAGGGGGGGGGTTCTTCTTCTTTCCTTTTATCCAGTTAGAAGGTCTGGAGCGAGATTACACTTCAGTGATTCCTGCAGACGTGAGAGACGTTCAAAGGGAACTCGTCTTCATCTGCAGATCTTTACAGTAGCTCCTCATGTATCTCACACTGGGCTGCTGCCCCTCATATCTGCTCTCTATGACATCATAAAGATCCATGAGCCGTGTAAGGCTGAGCTTTCGGCTGCCAGTTATTTGTACATTATTTCAAACTTTGGTGATGTTTAATGTGAGCATCCACCAAGAAACTTCTTATTTCTTCAAAAGCAGCTCAGCAGCATGAAGGACGAGCTCTGTTTAAACAGTCGTCAGATACTTTAGTCAAACAGCAGACTGCTGCGGGGTCGATGTCACCCACCTGTGCAAAACAGCTTCTTATACTTCTGAATTTCCTGGTTTGGGGGATGTCAGCCTGATGTTAGCACGGTGTGACTCCTCTTTCCTCTAAGTCTCTGCAGCAAAGCTGATGAGTGCAAATAACGCTTTGTTGCTGGAGAGGAAGCAAAGAAGTCAAAGCAGGAAACAAATCTCTGAGTCTTGGTTTTTCCAAAGTTCACAGCTCGCAGCACTCCCCCTGTGCGCTCTGAGGCCCTGCATTGGTGTTTCACAGAGACGCCTGCAGAGGCTGCAGCCAGTACATGCAGGACCGCTCATCATCACTCCGAGAGGACACGAAACCTAACTGTCCTTTCAGACACGTTGGCATTCGTCTCCACATTTCTACAATAATTCTGTTAATTCACAGAAAAATGAGCAAAAACCAGGAAACAATATTTTGAACACAGTTCAAAAAAATATTTTTAAGTTAAGCTGAGAGAGATTTATGAGTTTAATCCAACATCTGATGATATTTTTTGATTTGTCATTTTTAGTTTGCTGTGACAGAGTGATCCTGTAGTGAATTCATCTCTTAAAAGCAGTCAAAGAGACGTAAACAAGGTTATCCATTTAAATCCCACAAATAAACATGTGACCATGTAACGAGCAGGACGTCTGCTGCAGCGTGCCTCACAGCAGCTTCATGTACAGATGAAGCACACATTTACTTCTTAGACTACATCAGTGTGTCCTGCACATGCAGGCAGGAAGCTGAGTGCTCCACATGGGAGCAGCAGCACACAGCAGATCAGCCAGCATGCAGACTCCTCCCCTCTCATCCCATCACTCCCAGTATAAGCTCTCCCAGTGCCGTAAGCAAGACGCCCTCTATCTCAGCAATCCTCTTAGACTTGACCCCACTCTACCCACCGACCCCCGCAATCAGATAATCCTATCAGGACACGCCCGGCTAGCCAACCAGCCGAGAGGACGGCGAGTCGCTCGTCTCGAAAAACAACACACAGCCTCATAAGTAGGACACAAAGATGCAGACACAGTAAACGCCTCCACACTCACTGCAGCGCAACACTGGAGCTGCCACAGGTGGAGCACAGGTGGAGCACAGGTGGAGCACAGGTGGAGCAGTCCCAATGTCTGGGACTTCAAACTAACTGTGTGTGCAGTGACAGAGAGTTGTGGACGCTCATTCAGACAAGTTAATGTTCATTCATGAAAACATGATGCTGCAGCTTTGCCCAACATCAGCTTCCAGTCACTTCATCACTTCTTCAGTTTCATGTAGTTCACGAAAAGAAGTAGTCAGGTTTGGGATGAACTAATGAACACAGTGGAAACACACGTAGGCAGGAAGTGAAACCACGAGCAAATGTTCAATTTACCAAAATAAGACAAAGTAACAGCAAAGAGAAGAAGAATATCAGGCGGGGACGGTTACAGCTCCTGTGCACGAGGCTGATCACGACACTGGAGCAGAAACAGACGCACATCCTTCTGCCTTCATGAACGTGAGCCAACGGGAAATAACGATGCTTTTAAACAAACAGTGAATCAAATATTTTGACCACTACAAATGAAGCAGGACCTGAATTTTTATCCATGCACAGGGTCACAAGTGAGAAAGTGTGGGAACCAGAGCAGGAAGTTCTCCATCATGGGAGAACTAAGAGCTCCACGCAACAGCTCCGGTTTGTCCCGTGAGAACTCGCCTGTCGTGTCAGAGCCTGGGGGGTCAGCAGAGCTTTCCTGCCTCGCAGTCAGGCCTCCATGCTGCAGAGCAGAAGACACTTTGCGCAGCGCTGAAGTGCTCATCACAGGTTTGCTCGCCAAACGCCCTCCAGGAGCTTCGTGTCTCTTAATTGTGGAGCGCTGTTGCCATGGTGACGTCCCTTCCCCCTCGCAGAGCTGCTTCAGCCTGAGCTGTGAGGGGAAGACGACGCGCACACCTCCCTCAGAGGATGAGGAGCATGTAAACAGCCACAGCAGCCTCCTCTGTGGCCGCCCCCCCGTGATGCTGCACGTCTGTGCTTTTCTGTGACGTGCAAAACCAATTAGTCTGACTAATGGACGAGAAACAATCTCCCGTTAGCTCCCACAGCACTTCATCATCCACACACAGTGGAGGACGTGACCTCCTCGGGTTCAGAGGTACAGCGCTGTCAGGCTGCACGCAGCACGCTGCCGTGCTTTCAGGCAGCACGGGGGAAACAGCCACACATACCGACGCTTCAAATGTAATGGCGTTTGTATAATTAATTACACCTCGAGCAGCCAATCAGAATCCCTTCTAGATAGAGAACATGCAGCATGAGGCGAGGAGCATGCTTTTAAATCACATGACCGATGTTGATTTAATGTGCCAAAAACAGTCGTCACACGCTGTTAATGTCCTTCGTCTGCAGAGCACCCCGCTGGACCTGATCGAGACTGGAAAGGGGCTGAAGTTCCAAGCAGAGCGCCCCCACCTGGTGAGCTTGGGGAGTGGACGCCTGAGCACAGCCATCACCCTGCTGCCCCTGCCCGAGGGTGAGAGCACTGCTTTAACACCATCACAGTAGTTAGCAGTGGAGCAAACCTGAAAGCAGGTGTGCAGAGCTGCAGCCAGTCATCACCGTCAGGCTGTGGTCAGTTTGTTTGGTTCATAAAGAGCTGGTTTCTTCACTGATGCAGCGTTAATGCCACATTCCCATAGA